TATAGCCCAATCAGATCATGAAGAAGCCTAGAAATGTCAATGAAGACAGACAAAGACATAAGAAAAACCTACTCTTTCTAACCAAAGGACCATGAACAGGACAGCTTAGCAAGACAGAAAACTCTAAACCAGTAACCAATCTACTTCACCCAAATACCACATAAAAGTTTATAGTAACCAAGCAAACATTTCATTAAGAAAAGGGTAGCTAAACCTGATAGGAGATGTTTGTGGTGTTCTAACTTGCCTTTGCTCCATTTCTTTATCACTGTCTCAAAGTTAGTCTTAAGGTGGTGCTGGTGGGAGCAGAGTTGATCTTACTATCAAAGGGTAGTGCTCAACTGCTTAGATCTGTCAGGTGGCTCTTTGAAGAATGAATGCAAAGGGCTTGCTTGTATTTATCATAACTCAGAGATCTCTCTTGCAGGAAAAAATGGCTGTGCAAATAAATATCTCTTTAAAATTCGCTAGGGGGATTCAACAGCAGTTTTGGGTAATAAAAAATCCACAAAATTGAAAATGTTAATTAAAATTATACAGTTTGAGAAGAAAAAAAAGAAAAGAAATATGTGTCACAAGAGCCCTATGAGATATTATCAAATGTGCAGACATAGTCTAATAGGAGTTTCCAAAAGCCAAGAGAGAGGGAGAGAGAATAAGGGAAAAGAAGAATATCTGAAAAAATAATGACCAAAATCTTCCCAAATTCATGTCTTGATGGAAGACATGAATCTGTACATCCAAGAAATTCAACATTCTCCAAGTAGGAAAAGGTAGAAAAAAATATGCACTGAGACACTTTATAATCAAATCATGTAAAGACAAAGACAAATGAAGAATCTTGAAAGTTGCAAGTGAGAATTTACTAATTGCATATAATTGAGCCTTCATGAGATATCAGTTAATTTATTGTCACAATCTGTGGAAATCAGAAGACAGTGGAATGACACATTTAAAGTGCTTAAAGAACAAAACTGTCAACCACCAATTCTATATCTGGCAAAATTATTTTTCAAAAAGAAAGAAGAAGGCAAGACAACCCAGATATAAACAAAAGTTGAAGTTGTTAATCACTTATAGATCATCCCTAGAATAAACTCTTTTTTGTTTTGCTTTACTTTATTTTAGAGTTGTTGGGTACACATGAGGATTTAGTATATAAGTAAGTTGTATGCAGGTGAAGTTTGGGCTTCTAGCTGGTCCTCTCTCCCCCCGATAATGGATCAGGTACCCTGTGTGTTGCCATGTGTCCCCCTGCTTCCTTTCTCCCCCACATCCTCACTGCCCTAGCAGTGTCCAGCATCTGCCCATCCTACCCTTGTGCTCATGTGACCAGTGATCACCCCTACCAGAAATTCTAAAGAGAATTTTTCAGGCTGAAATAAAATGGCACTAGACAGCAGCATGGAGCATGCAAAAAAACCAATAAACAATGATAAAAGTAACCACATAAATAAATATAAATATAAACCACATAAATAAATATAAAAATAAATATAAATAAATACTTTTGCATATTTATACTTCCTCCTTTTCTATATGATTTAAAAGACAAATGCATAAGCAATAATTACAGATGTATATTAATGGGAATACAGTGGGTAACAATGTGTGTGTGTGTTTCCACATGTATAAAGATTTCCTTATTGCTGTTGTTTTTAATAACAAGCTTATATATAGCAAAAGAACACAAATATAGTAGCATTTGTCTTAAGATAAATTTAGTTTAAATGAAATCTTGCTTTTCAATGCTTTAAGGTTCACAAGACATATTTAGAATATTGACTACTGTGGGAGTTGAAGACTGCTTAAATAAAATGAAAGAGGAAACTGGGTTTTTTTTTTCTTGACTGACATAGCACTGCTCTTCAGGCATAAAGGAGTTCTACATATTCTTTAAATATCTTTAGACATAGAAGGTTTTACAGGACAATTGCATGAATTCTGTCATTTTGCCGACTGATATGGCTATATGTACCACATTAGACCTATTGATCGTTTATATGTGGGATTTTTTTTTTTTTGTGCTACAAATATTACAGAGGAGGGTGCTTTTTACAGACTGTGCTGTAGTCTGTATATTGAAAAATTTCATCAGTTTTTCAAACTTTGGTGGTTGTCCTCTTGTGTTATATCACTCCTCCTTTCATTTTTATATTAATTAAGAAATGGCTCTTGTGATTTCTGTCAAGTGTAATGTGTTCCTAGAGAAAGGGAATTCACTATTAGCATCTCCTAAACCCATGCAGTTGTTGGTGGAAATGGGAAGGGAGTACCATCCCTGATGGATATTGACTCCATGACTCTTGAGTAGAAAATGGCCTGCATCTTCAATGGCCTATGCAAGGACATGAAGCAGGTTGTTAAACAGAGAAGGGACAGTAGTTGTCTGTGCTTGTTTATCTGAGATCCAATTAAGTTTCTTGCATAGATAGCTCTTTCATAGATCTGGTTTACGGGTCATGTTAGGATAAAAATACAAAGAGATAAGACCTATAACTTTTGGAGATTAATTCCTATATATCAGTTACACACCCAAAAAAGGGAATAATAGGAATTATATAAATGAACAAGTAGGTACATTGGATTTTATTGATAATCCAGGTACTAAAGACAGGTTTATATCTATTGATATACACAGCTGAATTTTTGATACGAAATGGAACAATAATGAATTTTAAGCTTCTCTAGTCCCTGGTCTTGCTAAAAAATATTGTCCAGGCTGTGAGTTGGGAGTGTGTTTGTTCAGTTAGGTTTTAGACCACTCTGAAAGAATTATTTTGAATTACAAAAATTTCTTTAAAAATTAGAGATAGCAGAGTGATATGGAATCTCTGGCTTGACATGGAGGAGAGCTGCACAATATGAAATGCTCCTTGAATTGCAACAATTTCACTCAGCTTTGTATAATAGAAGAACATGACTGATCAGGAAAGTAGTTATTATAATTAACTGTTCTTACTTATACAAGAGTTTCCATTTGATGTGAAACTCTTAACACACGTACACATTCCTCTGCCTCACACACACTTGTTGAGTTTGACCAAGTGCTTATTAAAGCTTTAAAAATTGATATATACTATTTGTGCATAATTATGTATACATGTAACATGTTTTTATATACATATAATGTGTAATGATCAAGTCAGGGTATTTAGGACATCCATTGCCAAGAAAATTTATCATTTCTATGTGTTGAGAACATTTCAAGTTCTCACTTCTAGCTATTTTGAAATGTACAGTATACTGGAGGGAACCCCAAAAAACCAGAATTTATTTATTAAAAAAGGTGTATTTGTTCTTACATATTTAACCTTCAGTCACCTTCAAAGTGCACTCTGTTTGATGCAATACATTTATTGAGATGCTTTTTCCTCCACTCAAAACATTTTTTGAACTTGTCAATTTTGATGCCTTTTAATGCTTCTGTCATTTTCTTGTTTCACTCTTCCACACTGGCAAAACACTTCTCTTTGAGAACTTTTTCAATCTGGAAAACAAACAAGTCACTCAGGGTGAGATCGGGTTAATAGGGAAGAGGGTGGGGCACAGGATCATGCCGTTTTTGGTAAAAAAAAAAACAACAAACTGCTGAATGCTCAGTGCGGTATGGACAGTTGCATTGTCATGGTGGAAGCACCAGTCACCTGTTTGCCACAACTCTGGATGTTTCTTCCACAAGGCAGCCCCTCACAACAATGCTAGGTGGTACGATGATGCCTAGTTGTTACACTGATGCCAATGGGTTCCTAGAACACTTATCTAGTAGAGGAAACCTATACTGCAAGGGGCACATCCTCCAAAAAGATAATTCTGGTATTTTGGGGTCCCCTATATTGTTGTTAACTATAGTCATCCTATTCTGCCACTGAACATTAGAACTTACTCCTTCTATCTAACTGTATGTTTGTGCCATTAACCAGTCTCTCTTCATTTCCCCCCTCACACACACCTACTTTCTTCCCAGCCATTGGTAACTCTCTCCCACTTATTAATGAGTATATACAATATTTATCTTTATGATCCTTAACCTAGTGGTCTTTGGTTCCATCCTTATTGCTGCAAATGGCATGATTTTACTATTTCTTATGGCTGAGTTGTATTCCATTGTGTACATTACCACTTTTCTTTATCCATCCATCAGTGTAGGGACACTTAGGTTGATTCCACATCTTTGCTATTGAGAACAGTGCTGCAATAAACATGGGCTATGAGTATTCCTTTAATATACTTATTTCCTTTCCTTTGGATAGATATCCAACAGTTGGATTGCTGGATTGTATTGTAGTTCTATTTTTTGATTTTTGAGAAATCTTCATACCGTTTTCCATAGTGACTCTACTATTTTACATTCCTACCAACAGTGTATGAGAGTTCCCTTTTCTTCAAGTCCTTGCCAACATCTGTTATTTTTTGTCTTTTTAATAATAGCCACTTTAACTGGGGTAGATGATGTCTCGTTGTTTTGATGTGTATTTCTCGATGATTAGTGATGTTGAACATTTTAATATACTTGTTGATCATGTGTCTGTCTTTTTTTGAGCGGTGTCTGTTAATCCTTTGCCCATTTTTTAAAATGGGATTCTTTACTTTTGTTGTTGTTGAAGTGTTTGAGTTCCTTGTATATTCTGGATTTAAAGTGTCAGATTTTTACTTTTAATAGTTCACATAACAGGGTCCACATTTTTATTTTTTTTTTAAATCACTAACTTGAATCCACAAGATGGCAGTGTTGCCTCAGGGACCCTGAGGAAAGCTGCCATGTGCTTCTGTGTGCCTGCGACTGTGTGTGTGTGTGTGTGTGTGTGTGTGTGTGTGTGTGTGTGTGTGTGTGTGTGTGTGTGTGTGTTTGAGAGAGAAAGAAAGAAGAGAAGAGGAGGGAAGGAGGGGCTCAGTGGTGAAGCAGGGATGCTAAAAAGGGTATCTTTTTTCTCATTGGTAGAACAGATTCTTCTTAAGTTTCCTACAGTAGAAAAATTAGAAACATCTGAGCAGCAATTTTTTTTTAAGGTTTAAGATTTGGATCCTCAGTGAACCAGGAAAGAAAAGAACGATGAAATCGTTGAGAGTTTTCCTAGTGATCCTGTGGTTTCAGCTGAGCTGTGAGTTTTGGGCATCTCTATAAAAACATAAGGTCCAATAATTGAAGTTATAATCTGTCCTAGGTCTGTGGATAGAATCAGGAATTCTTTTTTCCCTCTAACTTAAGAAGGGTGGGAGGCCTGTGAAAAAATGGTTTAAATTCTGGAGAGCAAGTATCCACTACCCAACCCATCTTCTCTGTTTTGTTGTTTTTTCCCACAGGGATGAGGAGCCAACAAAAGGAGGTGGAGCAGAATCCCGAATCCCTCAGTGTTCCAGAGGGAACCACTGCCTCTCTGAACTGCACATTTAGTGACCGTAGTTCTCAGTACTTCATGTGGTACAGACAGCATTCGGGGAGAGGCCCTGAGTTGCTGATGTCCATATACTCCACTGGTGACAAAGTAGATGGAAAGTTTACAGTGCAGCTTAATAAAGCCAGCCAGTATGTTTCCCTGCTCATCAGAGACTCCCAGCCCAGCGACTCAGCCACCTATCTCTGTGCCGTCAGCGCACAGTGCTCCACAGGCACCTGCAGTCTGTACCCAAACTTCCTGGGGCCCAGGAGTGCCTCGTGAAGAGCAGTAAAGTTCTGTCTGCTCTCTAGATGCAAATGTAAACTAAGAGTAATAGTTTGAAGGGTTTGATTGATTTGGGAAATATTTTCATAATTCTAAAAATAATGGAGACCCTGAAAGAAAATGAAAGACACAATATTGCTGTGGTTGAAATATTTTCTAGTCTAGTCTTTCCATTTTAATTTTACATTTTAAAAGAAATTGAGGTATGATTAACATACAAAAGATGCATATATTCTCTTCATACATACACCACAGTCTGTGCCATAAACATATTTATCATCTCTAGAAGTTAACTTCCTCCTTTCTTTTTTATTTAGGTATAATGGATATACAAAAATGTGCATATATTAGCCAACAGAAACATGAAAAAGTGCTCGGCCTCACTAATCATCAGAGAAGTGCAAATCAAAGCCATATTGAGATACCACCTAACCCCAGTAAGAATGACCATCATTAATAAAACAAACAACAGATGCTGGAGAGGAAGTGAAGAAAAAGGAATGTTCTACACTGCTGGTGGAAATGCAAACTAGTGCAACCTCTTTGGAAAGCAGTGTGGCGATTTCTAAAAGAACTAGACACTGACTTTCCACATGATCCAGCAATCTCCTGACTGGGAATATACTGGTGGAACTCAAATCATTCTGCAAAAAGGATAACTGCACATACATGTTTATTGCAGCACTATTCTCAATAGCAAAAACATGGAACTAATCATGCTGCCCATCGAAACCGGACTGGATTTTAAAAATGTACATATATACAATGGAATATTATGCAGCCATAAAGGACAAACATATAGACTTCACAGCAATTTGGATCGATTTAGAGTCTATCATACTTAGTGAGCTATCACAGAAGCAAAGAACAGAGTATAACGTGTTCTCACTCATAAGTGGGCCCTGAACATTTACCATAATACTAAAAGAAAGGGATTGGCAGTAGTAGATAATGCTGGGGTGGGGGCTGGGGGGAACACCACATCGATAAGTGTGCCTGATCTCAAACCAGGCAAAGTGGGGACCAAAGGGAGGCCCAAACTTCACTTGCATGATGATCACTTTTATACCTAATCCTGAATTGTACCCCACATCTTTACAATAAAAAAAAAAAACAAAAGAAACACTAAATGATTATATTCCAAAGGGAAAAAATATATATTTAACGTGTATATATTTAATGTATACACCTTGATGCCCACTCTGGTTTTATGCTGTAACTTTGCTTTATGACATGATTCTTATTACATTTGACAATAAAATGTTTTTTTCTTTTTAATTAATTTATTTTAGAATCATGGGGTGCATGTGAGGATTAGTTACATAGGTATATTGAGTGAAGGCAAGGTTTGGACTTCTGATGAGCTAGCCTTCCCCTGCAGTAGTAAGCATAGTACCCAATGGGTGGCTTTAAGAAAATATTTTTAATACAATAACAGATATTCCTTCAAGATTCCAAGGGAAATTTGCTCTTTCCTCAGTTAGTTACTCAAGGTGTTTGACAGCCATTGCTTTAGGGCTGCAACTGCAAAACAGACATACAAAGCGAGGAAAAAGTCACAAGCAAACTACCTTGAAAATGTTGTGAGTCATAAATTATTTTAGTCATAGAATCCTGACCCAAACTTCAGCCTCAGCTACAACACCACTAAAGGAGCAAAGTCAGAGACTGAGAATAGGTTAAAACCAAAAGCTTAGATAGTAGCTGAGAAGAAAAAATAGGAAGGGTCTATGCTGCCATTTTGGGGCAAACACTGAAAGAGTTCAAAACTCCTGACTTGAGCCTTATGGGTGAATATACTTACTCTTATGTACTTGGGTGTGGTATGAAAATGGTAGAGAACACTAGATGTAGCCATAGTGTGCTCTATACACCCACCAGGGCGTGGGAGCACAGAATGACTTTGGATTTCTTGAGAAGAATCTCCAGTAAGTACCTGAAAGTTCTCCAGACACCAAGGGACTTTTGGTGTCTGGTGAATAAAGACCTGTACAGATCAATTACCAAAGACTATGGGGAATTGAGTATATTTTGGCAGATGTTGGCAAGGAGAGTTGGAAACACTGAAGATCATATAAATGTCTCCCTCTCCTGACTACTTAGCATGCACTATAGGTTTGCCTTGCAATATATGCCAAGTCCAGAAAAATATTTGTGGCCTGATAAAAAACAAGGTCTTAGAGTATCTGTTAAATTGAATTACAGGGGGAAAAAAGTGAAGGAAAAAAAACACTGAAGTTGTGATTTTTTTTGGTCATGACATTGTGTATATAGTCCAGGAAGTGGGAAAAGCTTGAAAATGAAGAATCAAGATTTCTGCCTACTTTTGTTGACATAGTCATTGATAAAAAGGATGCAAAAGATGCAATCCAATTAGAATTTTATTCAAATTCTTAATCTATAAAACTGAATACTCTGAACAAATATTTCCAAGACATGGATGAAGGATTTGTAAGGCAATGAGGGAGGAACAGAGAGTTTTGTTGGACTCAGATACTTAAGTTTTAGTGCCATTTTTATTATATGCTTTCTGGTACCAAGGCACTCTGGAAAGAAATGGTTTGTGGTGCTGGTTTGAATATCTATTATGCTACTAATGGACCATTTTATTTTAGGTTATACTATTATATGTAATGGTTTTAGGATGAAATGAGATAGCATATTGTCTTGAAATAAGTCCCTTAAAAATAGATCCTGAATTGGGAATACTTTGCCCATAATTTACTGAGGGAAGCAGGTTGAGGCAGGGGAAAGCCTAAGCTGGGTGTGGTTCAGCTGGAGTCTTGATTCAGCCTAATCCCAATGCCAGCTCTGGAGCAGAAATTGCCTCACAGAGTTAACCCCTCCCACCTCAGACAAAGGGGCAAGACTGTTGTCTTGTACAAGCCAGAAATCACAATAATAAAGTAGTCATTGACTATCGTCTAAATCAGGATAGAGGTATAAGCTACTGGACAATGGTGACTCTCATTGACAAAGGTCTATTTTCTGGGGAGAGTGGCCACTGTGAGCCAAAAGTAGCCAACACTCACAGCGTCTGAGGGTGGCTACACTCTCCTGGTTAACAGAATCTAGGGTGGGCACCAACAGCCTCAGTCTCCAGACCCACAGCGGGGCCAGGCTCACTCCAGCGGACCCAGCCTCCAGATTGCCTCCAGTACCAGGCTGGTCCCATCGGTTCATCAAACTTGTCTCCTGGTAAGTGGGCAGTATTCCAGAAATAACAGACTTTATGTAATTATATTCTAAACTTTAATTTCTTTATCTAATTAGTGGGGCTTATACAGCTAGTCTTACCTGTCTGTAGAATTTTGGAGAGATAGGAGAAGAGTTGAAATAAAGTAGGTTAAAGTACTTGTTAACAGAAAACATCTAACTAGATACAAGTAATAAATATAAGAAAATAAGAACAAGGACTCAGTGTATTATCTTAGTTCCTCTTGGGTATGATTACATGACATTCTGTCCATCTGTTTGCATCCAGGTAGACAGTTGACGACTCTGGGCTCCCATGTGTAGCAAGACCAGCAGAAAGAGATCCCATCTATATTTACATATAACTAATGCTCTTGGTTTGTTTAAGAATGAAGGACTGCGTAGCAGGATGCACTCCTTATGTCATTGTGCCCATGCTTCCCACAATGTCTGTTCTTGAAAATGAGGAGCCTGGCCAGTAGTACGGGCATGTGGGTTTATCGTGTGAATAGTCAGGCTTCTTATTAGGATGAACAGGCAGGAACTGGTAATTAAGTTGCTCCTCTTCTTTCCCTGTACCTACTGTCATTTGAAGATGGCCTGTAAACCACTCATCCTAAAAAAAAGTCAGCCTTCCCAGGCAGTTCATTTAAACTCTGGTGAGGATTAAATGCCCCAGAGTAAACGCTGGCAAACCATGCTTCTCACACATAAATACAGCAATAGAGTGAAGAGTACAGAGAGAGGCTAGAGTAGCTGTTCCACGTACAGACCTTCACTGTGTCCTTTTGTGCTCTGTCTCTCCCACCCTCCATTACAGCTGCTCTCTTTCTTAATCCAGAACCTCTTCAGCATTCCATGGAGTAAGTTTCCTTCACTCGTATTTCTACTATAATCTCTCTCTGTCTTATTCATCAGTGTGCTCACATCTGCTTTCCCTCTTATAGGAACTGTTAATATCTTTAACTTTTAATTACATTAACCATTATGCATTCAGTTCATCCTATCTATGCTTCTAAATTTTATTTTGATGAGAATTTTGGAGAGTTAGGAGAAGAGTACATATGCCGAGCAAGAAATTTTGAATCAGAAGCCCACCTTAGTAGCATTTAATACTTCAAAATCACTGTATGATTTGGTGATACATGTGAAGCAAATCTGTAGGAAGAATCATTATATAGACCAAAAGCCTGAGGGAGAACTGATTTCTGTCTGGTCCAAGTCAACAAAGTAAGTGGAAAGGAGTAAGTTTGTTCTGAACTTGTAAAGAATCCCTATTGACCAGATTCTCATTTCAGCTGAGATTTCTCTTCTCATTTATTTTATTTTTAAGATCTAATGATTCTATGCTAAAATAAGTTTGATGAAGCAAGCTTCTTGCTGAATACCTTCATCTTGTTGGGCCTATTGCTCTTGCTTGATACACCCTGTCTTCCACCTACATAGACTGCGGCTTGCTTAGCTCTGTGGAGTGTCAGTCAATTGCTCCCATATCTTCTACACCTTCCACAAATTCCTCTCATTACTTGTCTGCTGATAGATTTCTTTCCAGCTTTTTAAAAAAAATTTATTTTTAAGATGTGGGGTACAATTCAGAATTATGTATACAAGGGACATCATACAGGTAAAGTTCGGGCCTCCCTTTGGTCCCCACTTTGCCTGGTTTGAGATCAGGTATTATTACTGACATTGTGTCCTCTCCTCCAACCCCGATAGTGTCCCACTGTTGTCAATCCCTTTCTTACAGCATTGTGGTAAATGTTCAGGGTCTGGTTATGAGTAAAAACATGTGGTATTCTGTT